GCAGCGGCCGCCTTTCCTACGACGGCACATATCATACCTGTTTTTCGGAATAAAAATCGGCAGTATGAAATCATCAATATGCTGTGAAGAATTTATTAAGTATCTCGATATATCTATATATTTTTATTATTATAAATTATCACTTTAACGAATTCAATCGTGAAACAAGAACGAAGAATTTCTTTTCTAACGATATTGTTCCCCTCTTTTTCTTTTTTTCCTCTATTTTCTTTTTTTGTCCTCTTCTTTTCTTTTTTTCAATATCACATATAATTAATTCGATTTCATTATTGCATGAGATTAGAAATTATTAAATATTATTATTAATATATATTTTAATTATTATTCTTGTTTCATATTAAATCCTTGTTTCAAGATTTAGTAATCTTTCTAAACGTTGTTATCGATCGAGAATGCGAATGCATTTCTTTGGTTCAAGTCGACGATTAACATAAACATTGTTATTATATTAATATATATGTGTATATCTATTTTTTTTTTTTCATAGCATACACACATTTATATGTATATATATATATACATACATATACATATATATATATATACATATATATATATATATATATAAATATACATATACGTATAGATATACATATTTATACATATATAAATACACACACACACAAACACACACTCACACACATATATATATATATATATATATATATATATCTAAATATACATATACGTGTAGATATTAGGTTGGAAACTATGAAACGGGGAATTTTGTTTAGTTATTTATTTTCAATCAATGCCCGTTTCATAGTTTCCAATCTAATATATAAGTATTAGGTTGTAAACTATGAAACGGGCGTTTTTGTTTAGTTATTTATTTTCATTCAATCCCCGTTTCATAGTTTCCAACCTAATATATATATATATATATTTATGTACGTATAGATATGCGTATTTATACATATATAAATACACACACACATTTATACACATTTTTGTTTATATACATATATATATATATATGCGTGTGTATGTAAAAGTACGTGTGTATATAATATATATATATATATATATATATATATATATATATATATATATATATATGTATGAAACGGTCACGCTTACTTCGTCACTGCAACGGCGATATCGTATACAGGAAGTCTTCTCTCTCGAAAAAGATATTTTCCCATGTCGGTAAGAGCAGCTGCCGAATCAATGGCATCCCTTCCAACGCGATTTCTTTCCAAATATGGCGTTGCGTCTCTACCCTAAAAAAAAAAAAAAAAAAAAAAAAAAGAAAATGTACAAATATTATATATACATATGATTATTATTATTATTATTATTATTATTATTATTATTATTATTATTATTATTATTATTATTATTGTTATTTTTATTATTGTTATTTTTATTATTTTTATTTTTATTATTATCAGTATAGTTGTTATTATTATTGTCATTGTTGTTGTGTTTCTTCTTCTTTTTCTTCTTTTTTTTTATATTATTATTATTATTATTATTATTATTATTATTATTATTATTATTATTATTATTATCATTATTGTTAATTAATTATTTATTTTTTATATTATTATTATTTATTAATTATCTTATTTCTCTTTAATTAATTAACGTTCTATTGAATGTAATAAAAGATTCTTTTTTTTTTCGATTCTTCCTTTTTTTTTTGTTTCAAGGGAAAGATTCTTTTGTTTTGCAGTTTCGACAAAAAAGATAAAAAGAAAACAAAGAAATACAGAAAAAGAAACAGAAAATACTCACCCTCGATATTATTATACCGGCAATGCTGATACGTATTTTTGGTCCTTTTAATAATTTATACCTCAAATCAACCCCATTCCAAAATGATACGAAGTACCTTTTTATTTGGACATTATCACCTCCGTGAAGTCTGCGAAATAATATACATATGTATATATATATATGTATATATATATATATATATATATATATATATATATATGTATATGTATATATATATATGTATATGTATATATATATATATTTTTTTTTTTATTTTTTACATTTTTATTTTTGTTTCGTTTCATTTACGTTCCATTTCTTTCATATACTTTTTCATCCTAAATCTTAATTTTTCCAACTTAATTGTATATATATATATTTTGTTTCATAATGAAAATTATTTTTTAATTAAATTATAAACATACATATTATTTTTTTTAACGCTCAAAATAATTACATATATATTTTATATATTTTTTACATATATTTATTATAGCATATATATTTTCGAAACATATGACGAATTTGAAAAAAAAAAGAAAAAAAAAGAAAAAAAGAAAATGTCGAGTCTGACTCGATGTAAATGTTTACGAACGATTGAAGATATTTGAAAGAATCGAAATTCTCATTTTTTTTATTTTTTTTTATTTTTTTCTTCAATTATTCTTTCTTTCAATCATCACTATTATTATTATTATTATTATTATTATTATTATTATTATTAAGAAAATGTTTACCTGTATCCATCGTAATCAACGATACAAAGAATTTCTGGATAAATAACGTACGGAGCTTCTCGTTTCGATCTGTTCGACAATGAACGTTTCGTTCTGTATTTTTTGGCAATATGATCGGGCTCCATTAACGCTGAAAAGAAAAACGAAAAGAGAATAAATGTTGTGAGATTAAAAAGAAAAAAAAAAAAAAAGAAAAAAAAAAGAGAAAAGAAACGAAGAAAGAAATGGTTTACATAAAAAAAAAAAGAAAAAAAAAAGATGTCACGTGATTTGTTAGTAGATAAAAAGAAAAACAAAAATATTAGATGATACATTAGAAAGAATAGAAAAAAAGAAATATATATATATATATATGCACATTTATATACATGTATATAAATTCAGATGATTGATTAATTGTTTATATATAATAAAAAGGTAAAAAATATGTTTCGAATAAAAAATGACTTACCATAATCGCTATACTCGTCGTCGATTGGTTTACTATATTTTTTATAAACAACATGATGATTCGTATAATTTAAATCGTTCATCAAGACGTTCGTTAGATTTGGTAATAATATTGAATTCATTAGACTGATATTTTTGTTGACGACATCTTGGATAACACGTTCTGGAAGAGGACGTATCACAAGTTCCGAACCGATGTTGCCATCCTAAACGATAAAGTATAAATTATTATTTGAATTATTTATTAATAACAATTAATTTCATATAAATTTTTATATATATATATATATAAAAATAATGAATATTAAATATGGCCGATTATATGTTGCACGACGACAAAACAATTTTATTATTACCGAACTAAATTTATATTATATTATACATATATGTGTGTGTGTGTGTGTGTGTGTGTGTATATGTACATATATATATTCTTTAAAAGTCATGTTATATGGGATATATATCTGTATGTATGTGTGTGTCACTTTTATTATATATATATATATATATATATATATATAATATATAAATATATATATATATTTATATATATTAAAATGTAATACATATATATTTATATATATTAAAATGTAATATATATATTTAATATATTAAAATGTAATATATATATATTTTATATATTGAAATATATGTATATGTTATGTATATAATAAAAAATACAAATATACATATTTTTTTCAATTTCTTTTTCATATTTTATATGTATATATTCTTTCTCTTTCTCTCTCTCTCTCTCTCTCTCTCTCTCTCTCTATGTATATATATGTATATATATTTTTTTTTCTTATTGGAATATTTTTTTTCTACGGGATATGGGTACATAGGAAAAAGAGACGTTAACAGTACAGTGACCTTATCAGGTTACTCAACGTCGTAGTTACAAGGAATACGAGCAGACATGATAGTTCGATATACAGTTGGAGAGGTAAATATATGTACGTACTTACGTGTAGATTGGTCAGAAGGAAGAGGAAGAGGGATAAAGGGTGGAAGGTGGGGGAGTGAAAGCGAAAGGTCAAAAGACATGGGGTCACTTAGAACAACGCTTTAACGTTCCATTATGTAATGGTATGTTCTCATGGTTATAGGTATATACATATACATATATATATATATATATATATATATATATATATGTACATACATATATATATATATATATTATTATTATTATTATTATATATACCTATAGCAGCGTGATTAGTACTAATGATGATTACACTTTGAACTTTAAGAGAGGAGTGGGGAAAATGATTGCTTTTTGATCGATTTAAAAATTTTTAGATAAATTTTTCTAATTATTTTTTCTTTTCTTTCTATTTTGTTTTCTTCGTTTTTTTTCCTTCTATTCGAGTCGAAATATTCGTCAAATTAATTTTGATTTTTAGTTGCTTAAAGCTAAAGAAAAACGACAAAGATGGCCGCCATGTTTCTTGTTACTTTTACTCTTGCCAACGTCTTCTTTTATCTTCTTTCGAAATATTTTAATTCAACAGAAAAAAAAAGAAGAAAAACAAAAAAAAAAAAACAAAAATAAAAGAGAAAAAAGAAAGAAGAAATTACAGCCTTGTTTCATTTTTTATGAACTACTTTGTCTCTTTTCTTAATGCATTAATGCAAAAACAAACAAATATGGCCGTCGTATTTCTCGTTACTTTTTTCTTTTACAATCATTCGATATTTTTTCTTTTTTTCTGTTTCTTTAATTACGTAATATGTAATACATATGCGTTGATTAATTATCGTGTATATGTGTGTGTGTGTGTGTGTGTGTGTGTTTGTGTGTATACGTAAAATGATCGTAAATTTTCATTTTCCCCCCCTTTTTTTTTTTTGTTATATCAAGTTATTGTAATGAATTTCTATGAGAGAAACCGCAAATAAAATGACGGTATTTAATGAATAACCAATAAGAGAAATGTCAAAATGGTCATAACTTTGATCATCGGATTTCAAAAACATAACTTCTTAAAATCTTATGAGAATTATTGGGTAATATTTGATTCGATTAGGTATTCCCATTTTTTACATTTTATAGTTAGCCAACTAATATTAATTGGTTTTTATGAATGAATTAGGATTAATCAAAAATTCATTCATGTGATTAATAAGACGGAAATGTTATTTTTATTAACTATCAAATAAGTTTAAAATTCGTTAAAAATGATTTACAATGTGTATATATATTAAATTATACTAATCTATTATTTATATAAACACACACATATATATATATATATATACATAAATATATATAAAAAAAATTTAATTATGAAAAATGTCATCAATAATTTTTAACGTTTATATACAAAAATATATTCGTCAATGATTTACAATTATTTACGAATATATTTCATGTTAATGATATAAGAAATATCTACGAAAGAATTAATCAATGATTTACAATTATCTACGAATATATATATTGTCAATGATTAACAATTATCTACGAATAAATACGTCAATGATATAACAATTACGTAAGAATAAATTTGTAAAAAAAAAAAAATGATTAAAAAAAATAATCAAACGAATGAATTACGTCAATGATCGATAAAATGTGTTCTTCGAAAACAATTTTACAACGATCTAACGATAATATTACGAATAAATTCGTCGATGATACAAAACGAAATATCTACGAGAAGATTTGTCAATGATTCAACATAATTATTCAACGAATAATATACATCGATGATTTTCAATGACTTTACGATGAAAAAGTTGTTGATTATAAGTAATTTTTTTTTTTCGTACGATATTTCTTTTCCATATTAATAAATTCATTGTCCTCATAAACGAATGTGTGTTCATGTGCGTGTGAATATGTATGTATGTGTGGGTATCTCTCTCTCTCTCTCTCTCTTTCTCTCTCTTTCCGTCTCTCTGTCTGTCATTATCCAAACGAGAGAGTTCATATTAATAAATTAAATATCGACGAATCTTACGTTCGCCCACGAAAATATTTTGATTATGAATTTCATAATGATTCATTCGTGACTACGATCATTATCATGTAAATTTTTTATCATTTTTTTCCTCTCTTTTTTTATTTTATTATTATTATTATTATTATTATTATTATTATTATTTTCATTTTTGTATTTCTTTTTTACTTCTTTATTTATTTATTTATTTATTTATTTATTTATTTATTTTTTATATCGCGACGATCATTTTCATGTAAATTTTTGATCATTTTTTTTCTCTCTTTTTTTTATTTTATTATCATTATTATTTCTTTTGTATTTCTTTTTTATTTATTTATTTATTTATTTATTTATTTATTTATTTTTTTTTTTTTTTTCATAGGATTGCTCTCGCTATCATTACGAAAGATGTTAAGGTAACTAATGTGGCATGGTCGCGGTGTGCGTGATTGGGAGCGCTGAAGGTGGGAGGTGACAGTGGTATTACAGGGTGGGGTGTGTGGGTGGGGGAGGAGGTATAGTGATAGCAGCATAAATTGACTTCGCAATAGTTTGTGGAAGCCGTGTAAATAAGGTTACGTGAACAACGTTAAAAATTTAAACCGTATGAAAGTATCTAGGTAAAAGGAATTGTTTTTTTTTTCTTTTATTATTTTATTTTTATTTATTTATTTATTTTTTTTTTCTTTTTTTCTTTTTTTTTTTAGTGAATCCATCGATTCAGCATATATTCCGAATGAGGATCGAATAGATCGATTCAAATAGATCCGATCATATCGACGTTTAATATAGTATTGTAGATTATCATTTTATTTATTTAGATGCATTGTTTATTATGAATAATCAATCGAAAATAATTTTTAAGAATGATCAAAAGAAAAGAAAAAACAAAAAAAAAAAAAATATATATATATATATATATATATATATATATATAAGAATGTAAATATATTTCGTTCAAGGACAATTGCCGGGAAATATTTTTTTTCCTTTTTCATTTTTATTTTATTATCATTTCATTTTCATTTTTACTTTTATTTTATTTTCATTTCATTTCCATTTTATTCTCATTTTCATTTTTTTTATTTTATTTTACTTTCATTTTCATTTTCATTTTATTTTCATTTTCATTTTTTTATTTTATTTTACTTTCATTTTCATTTCATTTTCATTTTATTTTCATTTTCATTTTTTTATTTTATTTTACTTTCATTTTCATTTCATTTTCATTTTATTTTCATTTTCATTTTTTTATTTTATTTTACTTTCATTTTCATTTTATTTTCATTTTCATTTCTTTATTTTATATTCATTTTCATTTTTTTATTTTATTTTACTTTCATTTTCATTTTATTTTCATTTTCATTTCTTTATTTTATATTCATTTCATTTTCATTTCATTTTCATTTCATTTTCATTTTATTTTCATTTTCATTTTTTTAGTTTTTTTCATTCAAATAAATCGTTTCCTCGGGATTAAAAAAGAAAAAGGAAAAAGGAAAATAATACCGACGAAAAGCAATCAATTTTGTTGATCAATTTTTAATCAATTTCTTTTCTTTTTTACTTTTTTCATTGTTTGTCTGTTTGTTTATTTGTTTGTTCGTTCGTTTTCAAAATCGCCCAAGAACATTTGGCATCTCAAATCAACTAAAATCAATCCGCCCACACGCACCCCGATCTCTCCCACCCCTTGGGCCGGCCGATTAAGAATTGATTCGTTTTAAGAAAAAAGAAAACAAAAAAAAAAAATGATTATCATCATCATCGATTGTTCAGAAAAAAAAAAAAAAATAAATAAATAAATAATCGTCGACCCTACTTTCTTATCATGCGTGTTGATTGTCAGATAAGAGAAAAAGAAAAAGAAAAAGAGAAAGTACAAAAAATAAAAAAGAAAAAGTAAAAAAGAAATAAAAAGAAAATGGAGTTACGAAGGAGAGCGATTGAATCCAAGAAAAAAACAAAAAAAAAAAAAGGAAAAAAAGAAAAAAAAAGAAACGAAAAAGAGAAATGAAGCTTCGAGAAATGAAGTGAACGAATGATAATAAAAATAATGAAAAAAGAGACCACAGGAAAAAACAAAAAATAGAAAACAAAAAAAGAAAAAAGAAAACAAAAAAGAAAAAACGAAAAAAAAAGAAGAAATAGTAATTTCGAAATAAAGCGAACGAATAAAATAGAAGATCAAAAAAAAAAAAAGAAGAAGAAGAAGAAGAAGAAGAAGAAAAGGAAGAAGAAGAGGAAGAGGAAAAAAAGATGAAAATAAAAAAAAATAGAATCCTTACGAAACGTCTGTCCCCCTCCCCCCCTCTCCACCCACATCCCTAGCCCCTTAACCTTTTACGCGTTTTTTTTTCTTCATAATTTTTTTTTCCTTTTTTTTTCCTCTCTCTCTCTCTCTTTTCTTTCTTCTTCTTTCCTACGTTTTTTTTAAAAGATTAAATGTCGCGAGGCAGTTGCACACGCGCTTGTTGTACCCGCATTTTAATAATAATTTTCTTTAATAGGAGACATAAAAAAAAAGAAAAAAAAAAAAAATAACTCAAAGAGGACTCAATAAACGTTCTCTACTAAATCAGTGAGTACGATGGTGGTATGATTGTAATAGTGTCGACGACGACAACGACGACGATGACGATGACAACGACGATGACTATGATGACAATGATGGTAGGTTTATGATGGTATTAGTGCCGTTTGTGGTTTCGTAAAGTAGCGAAAAGTATGTTCTTTGAATTTAATTACGTAACGTTTAAAAAAAAATATATATATATATATATGTATATATATTCCTCGAACGTATTAGTTTAAAGTATTAGACGTTATTAGACGTTTTTAGAAAATATAGTGAGTGCGATCGTCCAACATCATAATCGAGTTATCTTTGATACCTCGACAAACGTATTGCGCAATATATATGAGTGTACATGGTGTTATTTAAATAGCTATGTCGGTCATATTTTTTTTATTTATGTGTGTTTTTTTTCCCCCTGTTTTTTTCCTGCTACTTCTTTTTTTTTTTCTTTTCTTTTTTCTTTTTTTTTCCTTTTTTTTTTCCTCTGCTCAAAGCAAACGTACAATGTCGATGGGGGGTTCTTGTCCGTTCAGTTTTGAACAAATGGGACGAATGATTTTGTTCGTTTTTATTTTTTATTCTGTATTTTTTTTTTTTTGTATATATATATTTTCTATATATTTTTTTTTATACGTATGTATATATATATATATATATATATTCTTTTTTTTATACATATTCGAATTTCTTTCTCAATTTTTTTATTCTCTCCTTTTTTTTTTTCTTCTTCTTTTCTTTTCTTTTTATTTTTTGTAGGTAACGATCGGATCGATCGAAATTTCTTTGTTTTCTTTTTACACTTTTTTTTTTCCATTTTTTTTTCCTTTTCTTTTTTTGTGTCTTTTTTGTCTTATTTCTCTTCTTTTTCATTGAAAGATGGACGTCTCGATCACAACTGTAAACGATTACTATTCATTTAGATGTCAAAGGAATATAATATTAATTTTTTTTTTGTTACAATTTTTTTTCTTTTTTTTTTTTTTTTTTTTTTTTTTTTTGAAGAAAAAGAAGAAGAAGAAGAAGAGATAGAGAGTATATGAACAACGATTAGCAATCGAGTGGATATTTTTTTGAATACTTTTTTTTTTTGCATTTATTTGTATTTATTTATATCTCTTTTTTTTTTTTACAGTAGGTAAGGTATACTTTGGATAATTTCGTTTTTGGTTTATGTTTAGAATTTTTTTCTCTTTCCTCCCTCTTTTTTCTTTTTCATTTTTTTTTTCTTTTCTTTTCTTTCGTTTTTCCTTTTCCTTTTTTTGTTCTTGAAAGAGACAGAGCATATAATAAATCATAACGATTCAACGTTAGAAATCGAGTGAATATTTTTTTTGGATTAATTTTTATATTTATTTACAGTAGTTAAGAGAGATTTGCTTATTTCGAATATTTTGAATATTTTTTTTTTTTTTTTTTTTTAAAGAGAGAGACAGAGAATATAATAAACGATAACGATTCAATTAGAGAGAATCATTTTTTTCCTTATGTCTCGATAATTTCTGTTCTTTTTTTTTATCCTTTCTCTTTCTTTTTTTTTTTTTTTAATATTTCTTTATACTTTCCACATATTTTTTTATTCAAACGCACTGTAAAAATTACGTATTTGGAATATTTCCTTCCCCCACCTCTCCCCGCCCGCCCGCTGCCATCTTAATTCTCTCTTTGTTTTTTAAGCCCACTGTAAAATTATATATATATATATATATATATACTCGCAAATATATTTTTTTCTTTCTCCTTTTTAAAGACTAAACAGTAAAATTACATATTCCTGATTTTTTTGTCTTTTTCTTTTTCTATTTTTCTTAAACCTACTTGTAAAATTACTACGGGTATACAAACAAACAAACGCATATTACCATTTCGACTAATTTAGTACTTAAACAAACTGAAAATATACGAAAAAGAAAAATACTAACGACAAATAATAATTTTCTTCTTAAATTGTACTCATTAATCGTTTAAACAGCATCTCACTCAATCGCTCTAACTATTTCTATCTCTTACTCACTCCTATCTAATCTCACCTAACCTCACTTCTCTCAACAAGTCATTATTATACCGTTGCCGTTGTTGAAAAAAGGAGGATGCGAAGAATGAGGGCAAAAAGGAACGAAAAAAAAAAAAGAAAAAAAAGAGAAAAGAAAAAATAAATAATACAGAATAAAAATAAAAAGGTAAAAAAGTGTGAAAGACATTGTCAACGTGGCCTTCCAGAAACGAGAGTTTTACTGTGTTAAGGATAGTGGAATCGTGGATATTGTTATAATTATGACACGGTAGCTGGGTAAGTCGTACCACGTTGACGAAATGACGGCCTGTAAGATAATGGAACGATGTCGAAAGAAAGATTAAGAAAGAATGGGTTCCTTACAACGAGCACTTTCCCATTCGCGTCCTGGTGCAGTAGAATCGACGCCATGTTTCTTGTATCTTGATAGATGTCACCGATATCGGCGTCGGTCTAGAAAAAAATGAAAAAAAAAAAAAAAAGAAGAAGAAAAAAAATGGAAAAGCAGAAAAGAAGAAGAAAAAAAAAAGAAAATAAAAAATGAAAAAGGAGAAGGAAGGGGGAACGAAATGAATATTTTTTTTTTCCAATTACGAAAATTAGGATAATAATGATCAAAAAGGGGAAAAGAGAATATGAAATTGCGAAGAGGTGATTGAAAAGGTGGAAAGATAAAGAAAAATAGAAAAAAGAAAAAAAGAATGAAAGAAGAGCAACGATGTGATAATTACGAGAAAAAAAAAATTACAGTTGAGAAATAACGATTAAAAAAAAAAGAAAAAGAAAAGAAATTAAGAATGAAAGAAGAACGACGAAATGATGATTAACAAAAAAAGAAAAGAAAGACAAAGACAACGGAATGATAATTAAAATATGATATATGACAATTAATGATAATAATGATAATAATAAATGACAAATTGTGAAATGATAATTGAAAAGAAAAAGACATTAAAAAAAAAAAAAATAAAAAAATAAACAAGAAAGAGGAACAATGATAGCAGAGATAACGAAATGATAATTAAATGAGAAAAAGAAAAAAACGATGGAATCAAAAAAAAAAAGAAAAAAAACAAAGAAGAACAACGAAATGATGAAAAAAAAAAAGAAAATATATAAGAAAAAGATAAACAACGAAATGGTAATTAACAAAAAAAAAAAAAAAGTAAGAGGAATAACGAAATGATAATTAAAAAAAAAAAACAAAAAAAAGAAAAAAAGAAAAACAAAGAGGAAGAGACAACCAAATGATAATCAAAAAAAAACAAAGTAAAAAAAAGCAAAAAGGCCAACGAAATCGATAAATTAAAAAAGTAAAAAAAAAAGAAAAAAAAAAGAGAAAAAAGTAAGAAGGACAACGAAATCGATAAATTAAAGGAGGAAAAAAAAAGAAAAGAAAAAAGAAAAAGAAGGACAACGAAATCAATAAAATTGAAAAAAAAAAAAAAAAGAGAGAAAAAGAAAGAAGAGACAAAAGGAATGATAATTAGTAAAACAAAGGAAGATGATTAACAAATTGTTAATTTAGAAGGAAAAAAAAAAGAATAATTAAAGAAAAAAGAAAAAAAAAGAAGAAAAAGAAAGAAGAACGAGGAAAAATAAAAGACAAGAAATAATAATTACAACTTACTTCCAATACGCGCTCGTAACGAAGACCATCAGGATGAGAATCGTTCTTTGTTACGGTCCACATTGGCAACTGATTAGGCGACAATAATCCTCTCGTTGGTTTCAATGTCAGATTAATATCGCTACCAAATGCCTTCAAATGTATCTCCGTTTTTTTTTCAGAACTTCTTTTATTCACCGAGTGCAATACTGGCACGATTTCATACGAGGGTACTGAAAATAATTTTATAAACATATATATATATATATATATATATAAATATATAAATATATAAATATATAAATGTATAAATGTAGATATATAATAAACAAATGGAACAGTTTATATATATATATATATATTTAAAAAAAATGTATAGAAACATATTTAAAAAATATATATAAAAATATATTTGAAAAGTATATATTTAAATATTATAATTATATAATAATTATATATAAATAAAAATATATAATAAATAAATGGAACAGTTTATATATATATATATATATAAATATATATATATATTTATATTTAAAAAAAATATATAGAAAGATATTTAAAAAATATATATGTAAATATTATAATCATTTGTTGATTACATATAAATATAAATATATAATAAATAAATGGAATAGTTTAAATAACTATATATATATATATATATATATATATATATATATAATTTAAAAAATATATATAAAAATATATTTGAAAAGTAGATATTTAAATATTATAATTATATATTAATTATATATAAATATAAATATATATAATATATAATAGAAATATATATAAATATATAATAAATAAATGGAATAGTTTAAATATCTATATATATATATTTAAAAAATATATATAAAAATATATTTGAAAAGATATTTAAATATTATAATTATATATTAATTATATATAAATATAAATATATAATAACAAGTTAAAATAATAAATATATATATAAATATATATATATTTAAATATTATAACTATATATTAATGTATATATTATTTTAATTTATATTATTATTATTATTATTGCAATTACAATATTGAAATATATATATATATATTTATTCTTATTTAAAAAATTATTATTTCTAAAAAATAAATCGAACAGCAACATAATAATCACATTCCTTTATATCTCCGGAAAGGAAGAAAAAAATAGAAAAACTATTACGTCTGACAAGAAAAGAAAAAGAACAAGAAACAAAAAAAAAACAAAAAAAAAAAAAATGAAAAAAAAATAAACATTAATCTATCAGAATAAAGTGAAGAATTAATTGATCGGGAATGAGATATTTCCAAAAAAAAAAAAAAAAGAAAAAAAGAAAAAAAAACGAGAAAAAAAGAACGAAAAAGAAATAGAAATACGAGCTAAAAGAAAAACAAAACAAAAATGAAATAAATATAAACATTAATCTGTTGGAAGAATTGAAGAAAAAATTAATTCATAAGGATCGGGATATTGAAAAGAGAAAGGAGAGAAAAAAAAAGGAAAGAAAAAGAAACTAACAACAACAACAACAACAACAACAACAACAAATTGCGCGTCGAGTAGTTAAACGGAGTATAATTAATCATCCTCGAGAGTATGTCAACATCGGCGACATATTTCTTTTTCATCTTCTCCTTTATTTATTTTCCTTTTTTTGTTTTTTTAATCTTTATTTATCTTTCCTTTTTCTTCTTCTTATTCCTCTTCCTCTTCTTTCTTTATTTATTTTTTCGTTTTTATCTCTCTCTCTCTCTCTCTCTCTCTCTCTCTCTATCTCTCACTCTTTCTCACTGCTCATTCTTTTTTCTTTTTTCTTTTTTCTTTTTTCTTTCTAGTTTTGTTTTTCTTCTTCTTTTTCTACATTCGACATTTTTGACTCCTTATTAGAAATCCATTACAGTATAATTCGAAAAAAAATTTGCTATATATATATATATATATATATATATATATATATATGTGTGTGTTTATTATAGAGAGAGAGAGAGAGAGAGAGAGAGAGAGAGAGAGAAAGAGAGAGAGAGGGAGAGAGATGATACTACATAAATATTCATTGGCCAATGAATCACAACGGTGAATTTGTATCGGACGATAGCGCGATAGTCAAAAAGAAAGAAGAAAAAAAAAAAAAAGAAAAAAAAGAAGGAAAAAGAATTCTTAATAAGAAAGATCGAGAGATCATTCGAAAAATGATGATCATTTGCTTCGTCTACGTTCGCAGGGACGTATCAATCGTAAAATACTTTAATCGCTATCTTAAAATAATTGCTACCTCCCTCTCTCCAAAAAAAACTATACGTATATATATATATATATATATATATATATATATATATATATATATATATATATATATAAGCAAAATATGAAAGGAAAAAAGAAAAATAGAAAGAGGAAATCATTTTTTTTTTGTTTGGAATTATTTTTTTCTTTCTCTTTTTCTTCTCCTTTTTTATTTTTCTTTTTTCATTTTTTTTTTTGGTTATTCCATTTTCCTTTTCTTCGTCTTCCTTTTTTACGTTTTTATTTCTCTTTCAGTCATTTCATGTCCTTTTCTTTTTTTTCCTTCTTTATTTTTCTTCTTTATCTTCTCATCTTTTTCCTTCTTTTCTTTTGGATTTTGTTTCAAATTTTTTTTTTGTGTTTATTAATGTTTCTCTCTTGCTTTTCCTTTTTTTTTTTTTTTGACGAACACCTGCTGATTTACTTTCACGAGTGACGATATAGAGGGGAAAAAAAAAAGAAAAAAAAAAGAAATAAAGGAAAAAATAAAAAAAAGAGAAACTAAAGGGGAAAAAAAAAACAGAAAAATAATCTCTAGAAGATTAAAAAATAAAATACATCATAAAAATGTTGGATCCGACAAAATCGTACGTTTGGGGCACTGCGAAAGTATAAGTACGGGCCTGAACGTTTGTATAAGTACCATCGAGATTCATTAATCATCACTTTCATCGCGGAAGGAAGGAGAAAAAAAAAGGTAGAAAAAAAGAAGAAGAAAAAGGAACGAAAAAAAAAAAAAAAAAAAACAAAGTTTTAGAACAAGGAAGACATCTTCCTTCTCTCTAACTGCACATCATCATTATCATCATCATCATCATTATTTATTATTATTATTATTATTATTATTATTATTATTATTATTATTACGGTTTTTTCCCCTTTTTCTTTTTCTTCCTTTTTTTCTTTTCATTTTTTTCCTTTTTTTTTTTTTCTTTTTGCTTTTTTATGTCATCATTACCAGACTCGTGTCCCGTGTGAAACACCGATAACATCTCCTCCCTTGTCATATGCTCGTGAATCTGAAACAGAAACAGATTTTTTTTTTTACGTGAGTCGTCGGTGACGGTTCGATGATTTTTCAAGATGGCGGATTAAGGTCGAGGGTCGATCGAAGGTATTTCTTTTTTTTTATTTTTTTTTTCTTTTTTTTTTTTTTATAATAAAAATATAAGGATACTTCCTGTTTTCGTTTTCTTTTTTTCTTTTTCAATGATTGTAGAACCACCAGTACGGATCGATGATTTTTCAAAATGGCGGGTCAAGGACGAGGTTCCATCGAAGGTAATTTTTTTTCTTTTTTTTTTTTTTAATGATAAAAGTGAAAAGATATTTCCTGTTTTCTATTTCTTTTTTTTTTTTTTTTTTTAATGGTTGTAGAACCATCAGTACGGATCGATGATTTTTCAAGATGGCGGATTAAGGTCGAGGGTCGATCGAAGGTATTTCTTTTTTTTTTGTAATAAAAATATAAAGATATTTCCTGTTTTCGTTTTCTTTTTTTCTTTTTCAATGATTGTAGAACCACCAGTACGGATCGATGATTTTTCAAAATGGCGGGTCAAGGACGAGGTTCCATCGAAGGTAATTTTTTTTCCTTTTTTTTTTTTTTTTAATGATAAAAGTGAAAAGATATTTCCTGTTATCTATTTCTTTTTTTTTTTTTTTTAATGGTTGTAGAACCATCAGTACGGATCGATGATTTTTCAAGATGCCGGGTCAAGGTCGAGGCTCGATTGAAAATATTCCTTTTTTTTTTATTTATTTCTTTTTTTATGATAAAAGTTTAAAGATATTTCCTGTTTTCTTTTTTAATGATTGCGTAGAACCATTAGTACGGATCGATGATTTTTCAAAATGGCGAGTTAAGGTCAAGGGTCAATCGAAGGTAATTCTTTTTTCTTTTTGGTCAATGAAAAGAAATTTCTTGATGAATTTTTTCTTTCTTTTTTTTTTTTATATATAATGAAAATGAAAAGATCTTCTTCTTTCAATTTTTTGCTTTCAAGATGGCGAACAACGTCGAAGATCAGTCGAATTAATTCTCGTTTTCTTTTTTTCCTTTCTCCATGACAATATTTAGAAATTTATCGACGATTATATTTTTCGAATGATAAAGAGCAAATCTTTTCGTTTAATCGAAAATAATTAATTAACTTTTATATTTATTTTAATTATAAGATAATCATGAAAGGACAATTATCAGAAAAAGAAATGTCCAAAGAGTAATTTCCAAATATTATTTGTCAATGTAAGTAATAAAAGAAGAAGAAGAAGAAGAAGAAGAAGAAGAAAAAAAAAATAAACGAATAATTTTCGTTCATGTTGCATTAGGATAAACGATAAACCGCAATAAGTAACACGGAACGATTTCTCATAAATATTATATTTTGAGGTTAGCGTACCGTGATAAATGTCGAGTGATGAAAGAAAAAAAAAAAAAAAAGAAAAAAGAGAGAGAGAGAAAAAAAAGGAAGAAAAAAAAACAGAAGAAAGAAAAGAAAAATGGCACGCGATTGAGCGAGAAAGCGTGGAATTATACGAGTGACAGTGGGGTTGGGGGGGGGTGCGGAGAGCAGGGGCAATGGTTGATATAAATAAAAAAGGAGAAAAAAGCGAAGGAAAAAAAAAACAAAAAGGAACGAAAAAAATGAAGAATTATAAAATGAAAAAAAAACAAAGAAAGAAACAACGAAGGAAAAAGGGGAAGAATTAAAAAGAAGGAGTGAAAGAAAAATGAAGAATTGAGAAGAAGAAAAAAATGAATTGAAGAAAAGTGGAAGTACGAAAGAGGGGAAAGGGAAGAAAAAAAAAAGAAAGAAAAGAGAGAGAGAGAGAGAGAGAGAGAGAGAAAATATAGAAAAAAAGGAAACAAAGTATTAAAGAAATATTTAGTAAGAATGAAGTATAATAATGGCAATGTAAAATGATTGAAATAAGGAACAACAATATATTTCGCAGTATTCATAGTCCGTGACGCGATTGGACTCTTCGATTATGTAAATGATGTAAAAATGTGGGGAACCCTTTGAAACCGGTACTGTCGCAATTTTGTTCTTTCCGTTATTATACTCTTTCTCTCTTTCTCTCTCTCTCTCTCTCTCTCTCTCTCTCTCTCTCTGTCGTCTCGTTTTGTCCTGCGTTAAAACATATTCTTTTTTCTTTTTTTTTTCTTTCTTTCTTTCTTTCTCCTTTTTTTTTCTTTTTTTCTTTTTCCTCCTCTTTACTTCTTTCCTGTTTTCTTTTTCTTTTCGTTTCTTTGCTTTTCTTTTCTTTTGTTTGTTTTTTTTTTTTTTTTCTTTTCGTCGTCGTCGTTTCATTTTCTATCTCTTCAAAACCATTCCCACGAGATTAAAAGTACGCGATTAGACCGTGTTTTTCCACGGTTATGATTTATATTTCAAATCGCTCTCGCGACTTTGGTAATATCCGATAAAGAATGTGTAACGATTTTTAAATATACAGTCTCTTTCAAAAGTTCATTATTTATAATATATATATGTATACATATATATGTATATATATATATATATATATATATATATATATATATATTATATATAAATTTATATAATATGATGAAGATTGTATAATATATAAATTATATTTATATAATATAATATAATATAATATAATAAATTTATATATATGTATATATTATATATATATATAAATGGAAATAATATAATACGAAAAAATTGAAATATTTTATTACTAATGTTGATGTATCTTTTGAAAATGATTTTTTTTTCTTCTTAAGTATTCAAATATTATTTGATAAAATTATTCGTATAAAATGTGTTAATATTTGTAATAATAATAATAATAATAATAATAATAATAATAATAATAATAATAATAATAATAATATATATATATATAAATGTATAATTAATAATATTAATATATTTTAAAATATTAATATTTTTTAAAAATAATTTTATGACAAATACTTTAATATTAAGTAATACAATTGAAATTAGAAAAGAATGATGTTTTAAAATATTAAAAAAAAAAAAAAAAAAAAAAAAAAAAAGAAAAAAGATTAATCAATAATAAATTATTTAATATTATTATTACATTATTGTTATTATATGAAATTATATTATTACTATTTTGTTATTAATTAATTAATTAATAAATATTAATACGAAAAAAAAAAATTTTCTAAAAAAATATTTATATTTTTTTTAAAAACAATTTCTGAAAAATTATTAACATATTCTTTTAAAAGTAAAATAAATAAAAACATAATATATATATATATATATATATATATATATATATATATATACATATTAATATTAGTAATAAAATTGAAATTAAAATAAGTACGACATCTTAAGTTATTATTTAAAAAGAGAAGACAATACAAAAAAAGGAATATATATATATATATTATATTTATTTTAATATATAATATTGCATATTTATTTCGAAGAAAAGTATCAATGAAAAAAATCAATTCTATTATCATTTAAATTAAATATATCAATTAATTATATCGATTAATATTGTCCATTAATATTTTTAATTAATATCTGCAATTAAATTGAATAAATTAATTACTTGATACAAGAACATTTACACCCACCCAAAACATACACACACACACACACACACACACACACACACACACTCACTCACACATACACACACACGTACATACACACATACACATAACTTGAATAAACCAATTACTTGATATAAAAAAAAATATGAAAAAAATATATTACAGAAATACACTCTTCTTAATGAAGCAAATATTTGATAAAAATTATTTACACATAACAAATGCACATATACACATATATACGTATACAACGATTAAATATCTAACATCTATTTATAATAATATCGTTATTAATAAGAACATATTTAACGGTGTATTGTCGGAAGTAGAGATGATAATCTATAAATTTTTTTTTAACGATATATAACTTACGTAAGTTAAATCTAAGTTTATACGAACGATCGTACGAGATCGTGATCTACGTGACGATACGATCATTTTATTGCGGATTTATTTTATTACTTTTTTTTCAGTAGTAATTTTTTAGTAGCAGTAATGGTAAATAGTAGTAGTAGTAGTAGTCGTAGTAGTCGTAGTAGACGCTTCTCGTCAACTTTAAAAATTATTACTGTGTTGTTCCTTTCCTTTTATGCCGATTATTCGATATAGTAAAAGATATAGTTACGTGCTCGTCATAAGGAAGTACTATATTATACTTTTTCATTAGTTTCGAGTATTGTCCGGGGTCAATGGTATTCGTTTCTTTTTCTTTTTCTTCTACTTCCTCTTCTTCTTCTTCTTCTTCTTCTTCTTCTTCTTCTTCTTCTTCTTCTTCTTTTCTCCTTCCCTTTTCTTTCTTTTTCTCTCTTTTTTCTTCTCTTTTTATTTTTCACTTTTTGTTTTTTCTTTTCCTCCTTCTCCCCCTTCCCCTTCTTTTTTTCGTTTCCTTCTTAGCGACGACGTTTTTTCCTTCCTTTTTTTTTCTTTTTTCGTTTTCTTTTTCTTTTTTTTCATTTCTTTTTCTTTTTTCTTTTTTTTTTTTTTAATTTAATTTAATTTAATTTAATTTAATTTTATTTTATTTTATTTAATTTAATTTAATATAATATAATTTTATTTTATTTTATTTTATTTTATTTTATTTAATTTTATTTAATTTAATTTAATTTAATTTAATTTTATTTTCTATTAGGGTTCTCGTTCGAAGGAAAACTTTAGCGTTAGAAATTTTTTTTTTTTAATTTATTATAAATATCTTTGTTCTTACAGATTATACAGTTTTATTTTTTTACGGATCCAGTTTTTTTTTTCGATGCAGAGTTTTTTTTCGTCTGATTTTATTTTATTTTCTTTTATTTTATTTTTATTTTATTTTATTTTTCATTTTTCTTTTTATTTTCTCTTTTTTTCTTTTTCTTTTTTTTTCTTTTTTTTTTTTTCTTTTTTTTTTTTTTCTTTAAATTCTCTCAGACAATAGTTTAGTTTATTAAAAAAAAATTACTAGTACGGATCGAGTTGTACGTTTGAAAAATGAAATTTTTAAGAATTGCTTTTACGTCGTTTAAAACTTGATTTAAATTATTTGAATCCATTAAATATCATTCTTCTGGCATAGTTTTAATTTTTAATACGCATAACATTCGAAAGGGAAAAAATTTATCCTATCGTAAATCTTAATAATTCTTACCTCTTTAAATTCGTATTTGGAAGATAAAAAGAAAAAAAATGAAACTAATTCTCAAACGTAATTTATAAAAAAAATTGTTAACAAAATAAAAAGACAAAAAAAAAAATAAATAAATGAAAAAGAAAATAACCCTTTGAAAATTCTTTTCTCAGTGAAAACTTTAGTTCTTTAAAAAAAAAAAAAATCATTTCTAAAAAAAGAAAAAAAAGAAAAGAAACTTCAATTTTAAAACGTAACAAATCAAAAATTCTTTCGAAGTAAAACTTCTATCTTTTTGAAAAAAAAAAAAAAAAAAGAAAAAGAAATCCTTCTTTTCCCAAAGAAAACTTTAATTTACTCAATAAATCGTAATTAATCATAGAAAAACTTAATTAATAAATTATTCGAAGTTAAAGGGAAATTTAATTCATAATTATGTCTGATGAAAATCGAAGAAAAAGAAAGAAAAAAAAAAAACAAAGAAAAAGGAAAAAGAACATCCTTTTTTAGCGGTCTCAATTTTGACGATGATTAAAAATGAAAAATGAAAAAGTACAAATTAAAAATCAGAAAAGGAAGACAAAAATTGAGGATTAAGAAGATGAGAAAAATTAAGAATACGAAGATAAAAGATAAAAATTAAAAAAAAAAAAAAAACTGAAAGAAAAGTTAAAAATGAAAAGATAAAAAATACAAATTAAATGAAACAACAAAAAACAATATTTAGATATGTATGAGTTATTTTGAAATTATTTAAAAAAGTACTCATAAAATTAATCATTATGTTCTTTCTTATAAGGTAGAAAATTAGAATGGCGATTTTATGGTCCCGCAAAGAGACTGTTGGCGTTTCGAACTTACCAAACGCCTCGACCTCCCCCCCCCCTCCCGACCACTTCTCTTTCCACCATAATGAGTGAAAGTGATCGACCTTAGTAATGTAATGTACGCCAAACGTTAATTGAATGCTTGATTTCTACTTACTGTAACGTTCTTTAACGATTAGATACAACAGACCTTGACGATTAATTAGAAACGACTTTTATAGTCATTCCGTATATGTGTGTGTGTGTGTGTGTATGTTTGTATAGACAAATTGTAAATTATTTTATGGGGTTAAATAAAAAAAAAAAAAAAAAAGAAAAAAGAGAACAAAACGGAGACGCGAAAAAAAATGGCGCAAGCCGATACGTATGAAAAAAAAAATGGCGCAAGCCGATACGTATGAAAAAAAAAAATGGCGCAAACCGGTACGTATGAAAGAAAAAAAAAATGGCGAGCGCATTTGCTTGAAACAAAAATGGCGAACGTAGATATGGAAATAAAAAAATAGTGGGGTACTTAAGATTTGGAAAAAAAATGGCGGTACCATAAGTGTCGAAGCAAAAGAAAAAATGGTGTATGTGTGAAAAAGAAAAATGACTAGTGTATGTGTAAAGAAAATTATTTTATGGGGTTAAATAAAAAAAAGAAAAAAGAGAACAAAACGGAGACGCGAAAAAAAATGGCGCAAGCCGATACGTATGAAAAAAAAAAAAGAAATGGCGCAAACCGGTACGTATGAAAGAAAAAAAAAATGGCGAGCGCATTTGCTTGAAACAAAAATGGCGAACGTAGATATGGAAATAAAAAAATAGTTGGGTACTTAAGATTTGGAAAAAAAATGGCGGTACCATAAGTGTCGAAACAAAAGAAAAAATCATGTATGTGTGAAAAAGAAAAATGGCTAGTGTATGTGTAAAGAAAAATGGTGAATTTAAATATATGAGAGAAAAAGAAAATAAATGATTGGATTACAAATTCCAATTCATTTTTAATATGTAAAAATTTATATGTATTTCTTTTTAATATATTTTAATTTTGTTATTTAAAAAATTTTTTAAATGTATATATATATATATTTTTTTTTTTATATATTTTAAGTTTGTTATTATAAAATTGAAAAGAAAAAAGTTAAAAAGTAAACGACGAAAAAATTTAAATAGAAAAAAATTTTTTTTTACATTCGTCGATTATTATAAATTCATATTTTTTAAATACTATATACATGTATCGTAAAATTAAATATTGATATATTTGAATTTTATTTTAAAATTAAAAGAAAAAACAAAAAAAAAAGAAAAACAAAAATAAACGAAAAAATTCCTATTATAAATTTTTTACTTTTAAAAATATTCTTCGATTATTTTTAAATCAAAGGAAAAGTAAAAGAAAAGAAATAAAAAAAAAAATACGATGAAGAAAAAAATTTTTTTTATTTAAATTCTTTTATTATAAATTTCACATTTCTCATAATATTTATCAATAATATATTACATATATATATATATATATATATATATATATATATATATATACATATCTTGTTTAAAATTATTATTAATTTTTCTTTTTCTAATCAAATCCCAATATACGAATATTAAAAGAAAAACATTTTCCAAACGTTATGACTTTCGAAATTATTATCATTATTATCATTATTAACATTATTATCATTATTATTATTATTATAATTTTTTCTTTTTTCCTATTAACGAAACATTAAAACACACGTATATACACAAACGAACATTAAAAAACAGACATACACGCATGCGCGCGTATACAATCGCAGAAACGAACGTTTCCATTATCTTGATGAATACTATAAAACGACAAAATAAATAAAAATAATAATTATGATTAATGGATAGATGATGACGAGATCGTAGAGTAACAGGAAAATGATAACTTCATAGTAAATTAAATTCATGACAATTAAATAATGTCCGTTAGTTTTCCCTTCTGCCATATTTATTTTTAATATAACGAAGATTTAACGAGCAACATATATTAACGCTCTTTATATATCTCATCATATACGAAAAAAAATCTTGTAGAATATGACAAAGAAGACGTAGAAGACTAAGTAGAAGATGTGTGTAATTGCATGGAATAATTTTGACCTTGAACGTATATATCAATTTATCTATCTATTTACGTGTATATGTATATGTCTGTATTTGTTTATTTGTTTGTTTGTTTGTGTGTGTGTGTATGTTTCTATATTCTTACCTTGTGGCATCGTACGAGTGGTAGAACGGCCATGCAGAGAAGGACAAGGGCGCGAATCATTTTGCGTGAAAATATTCCCGATTGGCCGCGTCACGTCGCTGAAACAAAAATGATTAGAAAAATTAAATAAATAAATAAATAAATAAATAAATAAATAAACAATTTTATATATATATATATATATATATATATGAGTAAATAAATAAGTAAATAAATAAATAATTTGATAGATAATTAAATGAATAATAGAAGAAGCGAAGAATAGGGGAAGCGAAGAAGTGAGGATATTTGTAAATAAATAAATAAATAAATAAATAAATAAATAAATAAATAAAGAAATAAATAAATAAGAAATAAGTAAAGGAATAAAAAAAAATAAATAAATAAATAAATAAGTAATAAGTAAAGGAATATACAAAAAAAAAATAAATAAAAAGATAAATGCATGCATAAAGAAATTAATAAATGAGGAAATAAATTAATGAATAAAAAAATAAATACATAAATAAAGAATAGAATGAATGGATAATAGAATAAATGAAGAAATAAATAAATAAATAAATAAATAAATAAATAAATAAATAAATAAATAAATAAATTAATGAATAAATAAATAAATATAAATATCATGAGTACATTAATAATATATATGTATATATATATATATATATATATATATATATATATATATATACATACATACAATTTATATTTAAATACAAAAATAAAATTAAAAATATATGTATATATATTTCAAAACAAAACGAAAAAAAAAATATATATATACATATATATTCACTGAAAATATAAAATATAAAATATATAATAAAAATATATATATATATACAGTATACATATATATGTATATATATTTTCAAAAAGTAAATAAACACATTCACAACTTTACAATTTCAAAAAAAAATTCTTTCATTAGAAATGACATACGTGTGTCCATATCTGTTTAGTTCTGTGTGTGTTTGTTAATGTATTAAAAAAAAAAAAAGAAAAAAAAAAAGAAAAAAAAAGTACGCAGAAAATGAAAAAAAAAAACAAAGAGAAACAAAAATTTCGTTCTTGAAAGTATTGAAATAAAAAAATTATTTCGTTCAATGGCGATCGCAGCCATTTTGTTCGGTATTCGAAATGAAGGAGCAAAAATCAAAATAAAAACAAAAACAAAAAAAATGAAATAACACAAAGAGTGAGAGTGAGATAGAAAGAAAGAGAGAGAGAAAGAGAGAGATAAATAGATAAATAGATAGATAGATAGAAAGAAAGATAGAGATAGAGGCATTGTTCTCTAATTTCTAATACAATTTTGATGTCGTGGTAGGTGGAGTAATACGCTCGACCTTCCTTCAACGAAAGGAAAGTCGTGATTTGTAGTTTATCGAGGCCATCAGAAGAAAAAGAAAAAAAAAAAAAAGTAATAGTAGAAGATGAAGGAAAAAGGAATGAAAAAAGAAACGAAGAAAAAAAGAAAATGAAAGAAAGAAGACATAACCTCAACTCCCACGAATGCCGGTACCTTTCATTCTATTCTATTCACGATCCCATTCTAAGATATAAATTTAACTAATAAATACTTTTTCTACGTTTTCACAAAGGGAAAGCTAATCCCCATATTTCGTAGTCATCATGAAACATCAGATAAAAAGATACATAATTATTATTATATGATCAATATATTTCTTGATTTGTTAATACATATTATGAGTATTATTTTGATTGAATAAAAAAAAAAAAAAATATATATATATATATATAAATCTAGATTATGAATTTATATTTATTATATTATTATAAAATATATATTCTATATATAATTAATATATTTGAGTATAATATTTTATAAACGAAATTTATTCTAATATTATCATAATATTTATTTTTTATATTGAATCAAACATATAGAAATTTTTCACATAAATTAAATTAGAATGATTAGAGTAATCTTGATCTAAATTATAAAATGTGATATATATATATATATATTATTCTATTACTATTCTTTCTCTCTCTCTTTCTCACCTATTAGGTTGGTATATTTATTGAGAAGAAATATTAAAATTCTTTTTTTATTTTTTAAATTAAATTTAATTTCCTTTAATTTTGTTAATAATCTTGTAATAACCATGTTAATAATTGTTATCAAAAATTATTTTAATACTTTTTAATATATTTCCAATTTAAATTAATATAATTCTCCATTACTTTACTTTATTATTTTTATCAACATATAATATTTACATATATATATATATATATATATATATATATATATATATATATATTTATATAAATATATTTATATAAATTTAAATTTAAATTATATGAAAAATATTAAATCAAATTTTTTATATAAATAAATAATTAAATAAATAAATAAATATATATTTATATATATATATATATATGTGTATATATAAGGAAAAAAGAATCGAAAAAAGAGAACACTTGTATGTAAATCCTTACATATATATATAAAAAAATTTATACTCATTCTAAAATATTATTTTAAACGACTTTATTGGCTTTATTAAATTTATTATAAATGTTTTCAAATAAATAAAACGATACAAAGGCATCGTAGAATTTATCTGCATCGTTAATAAAATATTTGGAAGAAGAAGAAGGAGAAGAAAAAAAAAGATGATGAAGAAGAGGAAAAAATTAAAATAGATGAGAAAAGAGATGTAGAGGAAGAAGAAGAAGAAAAAACGCGGATAGAAAAAAGAAATAAAAAAAAATAAAAAAAAAAATAAAAAAAAATAAAGAAATAAAAAAAAGAAAAAGAAAGAAAAAAATATCATCTGAATATCAGTTGAGTCGTTACAAAGAAGAAAAATGGCTTCCGTTTCGATCGTATTCGTTGAAGGATCAAGTTAGAGATCTACGTCGATCGTAATATTAACATTAATATGATAATCTTCAATATAAATGACATGACGTTTTTTTTTTGCGTTAGCAAAGTATATGTCCACTAGGTTTAGTCAATTAATTATTATTAAAGCTTCCAGTATTTCAAGTTTCGATTAAATATCACGGATAAAAAAATTAAATTGAACCTTTTTTTTTCGGTATATTATTATTTTTTTTTTTTTTTTTTTTTTTTTTTATTTGCAACAACTCCATAACCTCGATTTATTTTCCTGTTTTTTCTCTTTTTTCTCCTTTTCTTTTCTTTTTTTTTTTTGATTATGGACACAAAAAAATTATATATAATTAAAATAATTAATATATATATATACATATATATATATATATATAATTTTATTTATATATTTATCATAAGAAATAATTGTTCAGATAAAACAGATCGGATAATCGAAAAATATTCGGATCATATAATAATTCACGAGTACGAAAAATAAATGAAAGAGGAATAAGAAAAAGGAAAAAATTGTTAAGCGAAAAGAAAATAAGAAGATGTTTCTAAAAAGAAAAAAAAAAAAACAAAAAATAAACTCGTGTACTTTTTCGAAAAATCAACGAAAAAAGGAAAGAAAGAAAAAAAAAAGAAAATAACTAAGAGGGAGAGAGAGAGAGAGAGAGAGAGACGATGGTAAAAAAAAAAATTAAATAAAAAATTAAAAAAGTAAAAAGAAAAAAGAAAGAAGAATATATATAAAAAAAAAGAACTAATATCTTAAACCTGAGTTAGATTATTAACATTGAGATAGATCATAGAAATGAGTTTGTTACAAATTTGGTACGGCCATGATTCTACCGCCATATTGTCGGTCATAATAGAAAATCGACTTCAGTGAAAATGTAAAATAATTATTGGTCCGTTGACAGAATGATGACAGGACGCCCGTTATGGTTAATATTTATAGAAAATTAATGTGATTGCGGTTGATAAGAGGGTAGAGGGTTCAACGACGAATATTCACAAGAAACCAGTCAATTTTTTTCATAAATACGAACAAATTCGAAAAACGATTTATTAATAACTTTTATACTAATCAGTAAATATGTAACGCTGATTATATTTCAAAAATTATCATTTTATAATTATAATAATAAATACTATAAATTACAAGTCAAATAAATACTAATAATTACAAATACAATAAATTTATCAACAAGAAAAAAAAAGAAAAAGGAAAAGAAAAAAAAGAAAAAAAAGAAAAAGAAAAAGAAAAAAAAAGAAAAAAGAAAAGTAAATAATACAATAATCAACAAAATAAATATATATATATATATATATATGTACATAAACGTGTGCATCTTTGTATGCGTGTGATTGTGTGTGTCTCTTTGTATATACATGTGTTATCTGTGTGTACCCCCTTAGTATATACGTCTTAGATGTGTATGTTGTATGTGTGCGTTTATATGTGATTTTTATACGTGTCTTGGTGTGTATGTTGTGTGTTTGTTGTGTGTATATTGTGTATGTTATACACATCGTAAGAAACATGAAAGCGAAGTTACGGAAATATTCTCATTAAAAAGGAAATCCATTGCCAACAGGTTGTTTCACTTTCGTTCTTCCTATGGAAAAAAAAAAAGGGAAAAGAAAAAGAAGTAGAAATTATTGAAGAAACTTAGAGAAAGAGAGAGAGAGAGAGAGAGAGAGAGAGAGAGAGAGAGAATCATGGTGTAACTTCGCAATAATTTCTTCTCGTCGAATTGCATTTCGTAAGAAAATACAAGAAGAAAACTTGAAAGTATTGAAAATTGAAAGTACGAGAGACTTGAATAACATTAGATAAGAAAATGTAAAAAAAGGGAAGTAGCCAAAAAAAAAAAAGAAAAAAGAAAACAAAAATAAAAAAAAAAACAAAATTAGAAACAGAAAGCAATCCCAATAATATTTATTATTAGAATGAATTAAGAAATATTCATTAAATAATGTTATTAATTATTATTTAATAATTAAACAAAAATTTTGCTCATATTAAATATATAGATCATTTCAAGAATGGCAATACTATATAATAATTCTTTTCATTTTTTTTTTTTTTTTTTTTTTTATTAAAAAAAAAACATACACACACATACGCATACACTATTGAAGATTTTTTAATTATTCAGTCGACAATAATAGAAAAAAAAATAAAAAAAATAAAAAAAAGAAAGCTTCGATCAA